TTCGTTGGATATATCACAGTTCCAATTGCAAGCCTATAACGAGAACAGAATAAACTCAAGGTCACTTGTCATTGATTGTGTATCCTCTTTGGGCATGGATCAGGGGAGCACGTGATTTCGATCTCGGCGCGTTTGTATAAATACATAGGCAAATTAGATTTTTTCCTCGAATGGAGCTGTCCCCTTCGATCTCATCCCCGCCGCCAACGGCCTTGAGAGCCCTGTACTTGCTTTTTAAGCTTTCAGCACCAACTGCCCATCGGCATATTTGTGATATGTATATACATATATATATATATATATACATATATATATATATATTATATATATATTTCGCAATCTTATGATCACCGTCAGTATTTCGGCAAAGCTTCTGGTCGGGACCGTTTGAAGGAATTTTGAGTAGGGGGGGACACCGCGGACGATGTGACCGATCCCAAATATGGAATAGCCATGTTTGGAGTAAGTATGTCCTGGAATGACGCCGAATGGCCAAGGATCGGACTAGCCCACCCTAAATTCTAATTATTCCACGGATTTAGGTCACTTTATCCTTGCGGCCAGGAAAAAAAAACAATGATGTATGAGAATTGTTCGCAATATGTCATAGGGTTATAACGAGGACTAGGCCGGTCGGAAGAGCTTTAGTACTGTGGGGGACGATTATCTCGTCAGCGGTGAGAGTGTGAGTGCTGTGGGGGGAAGATATCTCGTCAGCGGGATTGGAAGATATCTCGTCAGCGGGAGAGTGTGAGTGCTGTGGGGAAGGTATCTCGTCGGTGGGAGAGTGCTGTGGGGGAAGATATCTCGTCAGCGGGAGAGTGTGAGTACTGTGGGGGAAGATATCTCGTCAGCGGGAGAGTGTGAGTGCTGTGGGGGAAGGTATCTCGTCAGCGGGAGAGTGTGAGTACTGTGGGGGAAGATATCTCGTCGGTGGGGAGAGTGCTGTGGGGGAAGATATCTCGTCAGCGGGAGAGTGTGAGTGCTGTGGGGGAAGGTATCTCGTCGGTGGGAGAGTGCTGTGGGGGAAGATATCTCGTCAGCGGGAGAGTGTGAGTGCTGTGGGGGAAGATATCTCGTCAGCGGGAGGTGTGAGTGCTGTGGGGGAAGTATCTCGTCGGTGGGAGAGTGCTGTGGGGGAAGATATCTCGTCAGCGGGAGAGTGTGAGTGCTGTGGGGGAAGGTATCTCGTCGGTGGGAGAGTGCTGTGGGGGAAGATATCCCCTTAGCGGGAGAGTGTGAGTGCTGTGGGGGAAGGTATCTCGTCGGTGGGAGAGAAATTTGCTGAGTGCCGGGATTTCCCCGCACTTTCCTTGCGGCGCGCTATAGAGGCCTTGGGCTGCCATATGAACTCGTCTTTTTGCTCCCAAAAATAATGAAGTCCAGTTAGATCCTGTCCAAAGGAAATTGTCCAACCTAAGACCGCGAAGATTACGCTGTTGATTCGAAGTCCACTGCCTTTCCAACTCTTCTCGCTTTATCGCATCATACGTATAAATCAAGTTTCCGAAATCGCGCGTGCAGCACCGACGCGTGCGATTGGTCAGCCACCAACTACCAAACCAATCCCACTTCTAGACCGATGCTGATTGGTTAATGGTCACCAGCCGTTCCGATGCGCTGCACGCATCGTCCCTTGAGGCAGACCCTCGCACTGCCGTCATGCCCCAAGCTAGTCACTGGGAAAAATGAGATCACTTGCGTGTTCCCGACATCGGCCAGACTGCTGGCCATCAGTTCAGAGCACGCGACGGTGGCAAGCCACCACGCCAGGGCGCCGCGGCGACTGGTAGAGATCGAGCCACGCGTGCGTGCGTGTGTCCTTGAAGCGTGTCCCGTCTTCCTGTCCGCAGCGATGTCCACTGATGGCAGCCATTTTCCCCGGCTCACAGGCGATTTCCAAACCGGCAGATAGGCAAATATGGCTCATTTTCTACAATGCGCTTGCTACAAGACATGGGGAAAAGCCGTGACATCGCTTTTCCGACGGTCTTTTTTAACGTGGTGGCGTACCCAGAATTCGTCCGTGGACTGAAGGCGGGTGACGTGTAATCACGGACGATAGATGTCCCTGTGCGGAAAGTCACGAGCGTCACGTGCATAAGTATCTACAATGTCACGGAAAATCGTTGCACCCGCGCTAACGGTACGAACGGGCGTCTATTTAGCCTGACAGCCAAAGCTTACCGATATCCCGGGACAGACGTTCAAAATCACACTGTTCCTCCATCCATGTTCAATCACCATTGCTGGATAAAATATCTACCAAACCATTTGCTGCAAGGATCCTTGCTTTGAAGCCATGATGAAGGCCGTGCAAGAGAAATGTTTGGTTTTCGGGACCGGAGTTGAACATAGCTTCTCTGTTATGATCCCAACACATCTAGGGCGATAGAGCCTAGCAAGAAAAATAGTTTTTGTGTTAAATATGTGAAGAAATGCTGCGTACACGACTGGTAACATAATATCTTTGTTTGGCAACGTGTGCTGTTTTCATGTTGCACGCGTTCGGAACGTTTTAACCTTAACACGGGCCCAAAGAGAGGCAATATTACTTGGTGAAGGTGCCACCGCATTTTACAGCGTTTTAGTTAGCATCACGCCAAAAAACAAACAAAAAAGTAGCAATGCTTCAAGCATTCAGGCTTTATGGGCGTTTAAGAAGGGTGTCGAACTTTGAACATGTTGCCTGTTTGAGGAAAAACTTATCTTGGCAGACTTGTTCACAGCCCCACCACATTAAACCACAGTTCAAACACAGGCCGTGTCCCTGACTCGAAGAGAGGGACATTCGATGTCAAGTCCGACAGAATAGGCAGGAGAGCACATTTGAACAATCTTTTCTTTTGCTACCAATTTATGTGAACAGTTACAAATACATGCACAACTGTTGCGTTCTAGAAGCCGCCAGTGCTGCAAATAGTTGAGAAACGGGCCGTTGGCACGGCGCATGGAGCTCCGGCAGTAATGCAAAGTCAATGCATGCTCAGGTGTGACAAACGGTCGGGGTCTTCTGATTCGTATATGGAAAACCCACAGCACTTCCTCCTCAACCAGCCACCCAATCACGTTTATTAAAACGTCAATAGGTGCTCTGACACTCGTATCAGAAAAAAACCTATCAAACTGTCTGTTTTGTTATGTCGTGTCTGGGGTCGCACCATGGATCCATATTCCATACGTCTACCTGTATACAGACGACGCTTGGACGCCGGCGCCTCCCACCATTTCACCGGCCCCACCCAGCCGCCCGCCTCGAGTCTGGCCTCTCGCGACTTTCACGACGAACCTTTCGAACGCCACGTCACTCGTGAACGATTCGGGTATTTCCCAAGCCACCGCAGAGCGAGGAGAGCGCTCGGCACGCTCGTCATGGCCCGGGCCCGCCGGAGGTCACAAAACAAAGCGACGAGACGCTAGATACCGACAGACTTTCAGACAATATGTCGGACGTAAAATACAGACATGCGGAATATCGATGTACAAAATATTTACGCGGAAAATATAGAGTCTGCAAAACATTGACCATGGAAATGTCGACACACCAAGAATTTGCCCGCGGAAAATTGACAACGCAGAATGTCAACACTCAAAATATTGGCCGCGTTAACACATCGACACGACGAATCGTTGATCTTAATTGGCTGGGGCATGAGCGTGAATGCACTTGCAAAAAATCGGCCCAACACAGTCACTAAAACGGTGCAAAATCTGTACCATAAAAAATATGTACAAATACAGTCACTAAAACGGTACAAAGTATAATTGTGGTTCCTCTCTTAGCATGATGATGTCAACCAAATAAACAACATTTAGCATGCCGAATTCAAGATGTAAAATAACAACTAGTCCCGGACTGTGTGTATCGCTTTGTGCAGCAGGGAAATGCACCGCGGGTTATATCAACATAGTTTGATTCTTGCCTCTGAAGTGAGCAAAAACGAAACAAAGGTAACTGACAGCATCTGGCACTGCAGCAGTCGTGTTTAAGAATAACTGTAGCTGTTTCTTTTAGGTGCGGCACCGGCAAAGTTTGGCGCTGCGAATATGCGCCGAAAAGGGGCGTCACCTACCTATTATCCGGCATACCAGAGCCCTGGACAGAACGCCGGGCCTCTAAGGGTGTCACGCCAGGTATCTGTTGGCGGCGTTTAGGGCTCTGGGGCGGCAATAAAACAGCAATTTGAGTTAGCAAAACGCAACAATTTTAGAAAAAGGTCGTGACCTGTGCGTGCAGAAGCGTATCATTGTTTTCCTGTACCAAGATGGAACGACACCAAACTTCCCTCTAGCTGCCGTCACTTCTCTAAAGCATTTCGTTCCCTAATGCACTCGGGTAAAACATACGAAAACAGACTGCTTGTCTCGATACGAATACACTGGTGTGTAGTTTCATTTTCTGATGTCGTTGGTGACGTGCCAGGCCATGACAGGGGAAAATTTGTTTACGAAAGTCTGATATTTTTGGCTTAAATCGTGCTTTCTGGCAACTGTCGAGCAGGGAAGCGAATTACACCGCAGTAGGCAGACATGTTTGACTTTGGGTCGTACAAAGTTGTCGGTAGCTCACACAATTTGTTCAGATCCATAGGTCACCCTTCCTTGTGTCGTGTATGGAAACCCGTATGTCCAGCAGCTTATAGACCAGCTTCTGACGACAGCCAGCGTGCGGATATTCAGCATGTCAATTTCGATGGGGCCAATTTTTGCGTAACTCATGTTTCGCGTTTCATTATTTTGCATGTCTGTATTATGCACTGTCAATATTTTAAATGTCGATTATTCTGAGCATAGTTTTTACGGTCCATTTTTTGTCTGCCGACATTGACGTGTCAACATTTTGTTCGGATACCCCGCCGGCCACCGTCTCGCCGGCGTATCTGCCTCGCCTCACGCGCGCGCCGCCGGCGCGCCGCGGCCAGGTCGGCGGGTCACGTGGGCGTCGGCGCGCGCCGCCGCGGCACGCTTTTAAAGTGGGCGCGCGCCGCCGCGTCGGCAGTGGTCGGACGGCGGCGGACGGAGAAGTGCACGGGCTTCCGACAGACGACGGACGACACGCAGCCATGCCCGGCTGGGGATACGGATCCAAGAACGGTAGGCGGCACAGGCGGAGCGCGCCGCGTAGGCGGACGCCATTCCGCCCGAGGCGTGCCGGCACGTAGTTGTGACAAACGTGATGGCACAGGCGTTGCAGAGACGGCCTGCTGTAACTTGTAGCAAAGCTGTAGCAAACTCTGCAGCTTTTTCCCCATAATTGCTGGGTCATTTTTTCCACGTACGAGGCACTCCTGCGGTCTTTTTAGACCACGGCGCCATATTTACAATCACGCGCCAGATCGCATTAATTCAAGCTGGGAGCGGTGCTCCAGACTTGTAATGGTGAAAACATTGTATCTACGATCACCGATCACACTGGGATCAGGTCCTGCAGAATCCTTCCACTAGTTCTGGCAACATTCATTTTAGACAAAAATTCGGTAATTGGATAGCTGTTAAGTATGGAGTGTAAATGCATGCAATTCACAATTAAGCCGTTTATTTAACCATGGACGTGAAGTCAACTAAGGTCATCACAGGTCACGGGGCTATATTGCCCGGTTTGGCTCATAATGTAAAATTCTTAAATGCAGCAGGAACGTGTATGTCTATGGGATTTTCATACCAGTGACGTTTACACCTAACACCCAAGTGACTCAAATGACTCAGTCGAAATGGAGCGGTGATAAACGGCTGCTGGGATCCCAGACTGCCCTCGCAGTGACGTGAATCACTTAAATGCAGCGGTATCGCGTAACAGTAAGATAACACAACAGATGACAACAGCGACATGACTGACAAGACTTCCTTTTCTATGATACAATCCAGAAACAGATTCAACTCAAATTGTAAGCCTATGACACTATAACCTATGACACATGACACATGCAGCTATGCTTTGAAGGAAACAACAGTTGCAGGCTGATCTCTCTTCGTCTGGCCAAAGTTGTTTGAGCTTAAACTGCGAGCATGAACACCCAGGTGTCCGGCCGGCTGAGCCGTGGGAGGATGCTCGAGGGAGAGCTCTTCACGCATTGGGTAAATTATTAGACTGAGTGTTCTACAACCTCGCATCGGTCATCGGTCAATACATTGGACTTAACAACTGGCTAGTACAAGTAAAGTGAAAATAAAGCATGACTGAAGGGTTCAGCGTCAGTTTACGAGATAGTGCATGTGCCCATACATTCTACACTTGATTTCTTACGCCGTCACAAGTTGAAACATGATACATTAATGCGGGGCACATTAAGCCCCTCGAGCCGCCGGCCTGTCCCGGGACCGGCCGTGAATGCGGCTCGACATCCGCGCACACTCGAGAACGCTCAGCACGGCACCAGGAGAGGGCTGGACAGGCGGCGCCAGGAGAGGGCTGGACAGGCGGCGCTGGGTCCGAGCGGTAGGCGTGTGCAACCTTCCCACGACCGTTGGGTGGAAATACCCGGGCTGTGGCCCGCGGCTGGTCTAGCAGACCTGTGCTGAACGACACAAGGCAGCATAATTTAAGGGAGTTGAAGGTCAACGTGTCTGTGGACTGCCCATTAGCGGTGCACGATGACCCTTAGCGATGGAGCAGCGCTGCAGAATCCTGCAATGCCACGTGTCAGTAAACACAGAAATATTTTGCTGCGGAAATTGAGAAGCCGCCATATTCCAGAATGATATATGTTGGATATGACACTATAGTTATATTACGCCCCGGTCTCTTTCTCCCAACGGAAAGCGGTTCATGGCCGTTTGCGATGATGCGCAGATCTGCATACCGTCAGGCTGCTCCCGAATTGCACGTGATCCCAAGCGTTACGTAACCATGCGGCCACCTGACCTAGAGCGTCGCCAGTCATGTGATGATGTCACGTGACTTTGGAGGCGCTCGCGTGCCGAGGAAGACCAGCCACGCCGCTCAAATCCGGTCCCGCGTAAGCGCGAGGAATGTCGGCGCGCGGGCAGAAGGTGGGTGCGACCACTCACGCTCGCGCTGTGGTAATCGGCTTGCGCGCATGGTTTTCCCCATCGGTGATAAGCAATGACATGCAGGGTGATCACTTTGGGCCTCAAATAATCTCGAAAGTTCCTCTGCTTTGTTAGCATAATAAGAACTTAGGTTTGATGTGCATGGTTAAGCGGTCTAGGTAGACCAGAACATTTAAGTCAAAAGATCGGGAAATGCCGAGTCTTTTGCGGAGGAGAAAGATAGCGTATTTCTCATGTGTTTTAAAAAAAGGACTCTGAAATGTTAGTGTCAAGTCGAGCTAAAAAGTTTTGCCGCGCATCCCTTACCACGGGTATAGTTTCGGTATATATCGTTTTACAGCATATGACAGTCCGCAAGCATGAAATCATACAACAGGAGATAGCGGAAGTCTGCAATAGAGTGACACATTTTTAACGCACGGGTATTGCGTTTCAATATTCATACGAGCAGGGCTCTCCAAATCTCGGTGCCCATTCCGAAGATGGCTGAATTTCAAAGGTTGACAAATTAAAGCAAACAAATCAAGCCATGCGATGAAAAGGATTCGAGTTGAAAAAATAGCCCACAGATCCTATGTCTTTAGGAGTCGAAGAGGATTATTTAAAACATTAGACATCCGGATCCTGTCAAGCAGCTCCCAAAAACGGCACGTACTACATTATCTCATCGCTCGTCACGAACGGCATTCGCAAGGGAGTGTAACGAAATCGCGAATGCCTGGCACGCGTGACGACCACGCATGTCACGTGGGAAGCCTCGCTTGAGACGGCCCTCGGTCGTGGTCGGACGTGACAACGGGACATAGGCGAACATATAGGCAAAGACAATACGTAGGCAAAGGACAGTACAATAGCCGGAAATAACAACCCCTTCAACATCTTTCTCTTTCTTCCTCCTGCTCTCTTTCTCTCTCTCTCTGTCTCGCTTTCTTCCTCCCTCCCTCTTTCTATCTCTCTCTCTCCCATTCACTCATCTCTCTCTTCTCTCTCTCTCTCTCCTATCTCTCTCTCTCTTCTCTCTCTCTCTCTCTCTCTCTCTCTCTCTCTCTCTCTCCTCTCTCTCTCTCTCTCTCCTCTCTCTCTCTCTCTCTCTCTCTCTCTCTCTCTCTCTCTCTCATCTAGGGTAGCAATGAACAACAGTTGGTTAATATGCACTTGCAAGGAAAAGCGATTGATAAATGATTGCAAAACGCTGTGCAATTTCGAACAGGCATCCAGTTGTTAGAAATTGCATGCACACCATACGCGGCATAAGATCTTGTTCACGGTTTTACACAAAAATCATGCAAACTACAAACACGCTCAGCTTAACGTTTGGAACTGGCCTCGCGGTCCCATTCTAAGCCACGACACGGCGCTTGCGCCTCCAGTTGGGCGCATGCGCCAACAAGCATGAGCCACGTCGGGTCTGAGCCAGCTGGGCTTACAGCCGTTACTGGTCGTGCATGACACCGACGCTTGAGATACCTGGGGCCCCGCCACCCCCCCCCCCCCCCAAAGTACAGTCCCAAGCGTCAGCGGCACTGACGCCCGCAGGCCACCCGACCATCCCAGAGAGCGGCGTAGATCGCTCTAAAACGCGAGCGTCCTCATCGTCCGGGAGCGGTTTGGACCAGTTGGTCGCGTGTTATAATCTGTTCAGTTGTGAGCTAAATACCAACAAGTGCGTGTACAAAATATAAGGTCTTCGGAAGATGATGTTATGAAAGGATGTGACGATCATGCCATTATTATTATGTCATGTCAAAATGCCTCCTTTGTATAGCAGACGAGTAGGCCTTTCGGCTGTGAACTCGTTAGTTGCATATAAATGTGACCATTTACGTATCAGCAGTCAGGGATGAAAAGCATCCGAAAGTTGGTTTTTTACCCGCTGCTTTGCAAAGTCTTGAAACTTTTCCGTTCAGAACTGTAGCACACTTTGCGACAGACCGATTTCTAGAAGAAAAACGAATCAGTGATTCTCGATACATCAGGAAGAGAGAGAGGGGGCAGAATCTGTGCTACTGCCCATTTACGCAAGGCGCAATCTCGCGCTTGGAGCAGACTGTTTCATTCTCTCTATCGGTGCGTACATCCCACGGATCGGTGCCCTCACTATTCAAGCTGATTGTACTGTCATGTGCTCCGAAATTAGACCGTGCGGCCACCATTAGCGTAAAGTAATGCTTGGGCTTAAACAGCGGTCGTTAATTCGACGTCACTCAGGGCAGATTAAACCCAGTGTTTGATTACTTCCCTTCAAACAGAACGCTTTTACTGCAGTTAGAAGCTGTGCGGACAACTGTACTGGCGTTGGCGTGGCAACCGGTGGACTTCATGCTCAAATATATGGATTTATTTGTATTTCTGGGGCATTTACCATCTTTCAATTGCTGAGACCACGTTGAACGCCATCCTCAATATCTTTGGAACCAATTAAGCGAACGGCTAGTTCAAACGATAGGAGATGTCCCTGGAATATGCGACCCCAGCACATGCGATTTGTTGATCTGTCAGTCATTTGTGACGCGACAGGTCAGGTCGAATTCCACGAGTTTGTTCTTGGACATTCTCCCTAATTGCCTAGCCATTCGAACTCACCGTGGCCTTGCGTATAAGTGGAGCTGAAATAAGTGCATCTGGTCGTGTAATGCGTATGATGCCAGCATTTCACAAAAGCCCCTGTATGTTACGATGCCCGCATTGTCACCGAACTGCACATTCCATTGGCGAGGCTCATGGTGACCAGCAGACTGAACAGACCTCTAACAGGCCTACAGCCCGAGGCGCGCTGGATCCTCCAGCAGACTGAACAGATCTCTAACAAGCCTGTAGCCCGGGGCACACTGGATGCTCCAGCAGACTGGACAGACCTCTAACAAGCCTATAGCCCGGGGCGCACTGGATCCTCGTCTTTGCCGTGCCTCTCGAGCGCCGAACATCGGTGACACAGCAGGGATGGCGAGACCTTTGATACAGATCTCGGGTGTCGCCGGGAAGCTGGGCGCGACTGGTCGGCCCGTCAGTGCGGTGAGACTCTGCGCAGAGCGGCCTGCGCAGAGTCTGCGCAGAACGGCCTGCGCAGAGCCTGCGCTGGAGATATCGTCACTCTCCGATGGAGACCGCTATGTGTCGATCACGCCGCATACGCTGGCGCTGCTGGGCCTGCTGTCGGGCTGCCAATGGGACTGGCCATTCGGTGAATTGCAAATCGCACGAAACCGTTACGATGCCAGCGTTCAGGGAATATGGGTTGTTACTGTACGTGTTACTGGTAACTGGGCCCGATAGCCATCATCGAGAAGCGTTGGCCAGACACAGTCAGGCGCTGTGGGCATTGACTCCGGCTCTTTACTTGCAAAACCAGCTTCTTGTACAGCCTGCGCACGCCGCAGCCGTAACACAGACATCACATATGGCATCGCATGCATGTTTTTTGGCAGCCTTTACATACAGCCCCCCCCCCTCCCCCCGCTCAAAACTGCCTGTCGGCGATACCCACAAATATCTTGAAGTTGCCAGTTGAAGCAGTCAGCACCTTAACTGATGAGTGTTGCATTTGCAAGTTCGCAAGTTTTACATGTGCAAACAAGAAACGAGGTCGGTTTTGCAAATGGCAGTACATGCCGTGGTGAAATGTGCCGTATAACCATGAAAATGATGCCTGTATCCCAAATGCGTCAAAGACCCCACAGCCATCGTTATGCCCTTGCATAGCTGGAACGATATTCGCCCACACATTCTGGGGGTGCTGGATCTTCTGTGTGTAGCGCACTGCATTCCATCCCGCTGGGACGTGGCCAGCGTGACGCGGAGACGGAATGTGACGCGTGACGGATGCGTCCGTCTGCCGTTGGAAACGTGCCGACCCAATGCTGTGCACACGAAGCAGCCGTTAGACTTATCAGCAGAAGCGAGCGCTGCCCAACAACTTCGGTCGCATGTCGGTTCCCATTTCGCCAACACCAGCCGAGGTTTCTCTGAATTTAGTGGCCCTGTTCTCCGGCGGGTGGCGGTCGGCCCACCGGCCAGACGCCCGGGGGCACGGTGTTCGCTGAACCGGGGCGGTCGAAGTAACGACCCAGGGGGTGGACGATAGGGGAGTGACCTGACCTGCTGCTCATGCCAGGTTGACGGGGAGCTGAAGTACACGCTGAAAGCCAAGCCGCAATCCTGTCCGACATTGACAGACACCGTTCCGGGACGGCCCTGGTGGCGCTGCACGTGGCTGGGCCATACGCGAGCTACTGTAGTCCAAGTGCGGGGCCAGGTTTGTGACGTAGCTGCATGGACGTCGCAGACAACTGCACCTGGAAAAGTTGTCTTGCCGACGAAGAACAAGCTTTTGCTACAGCCCTCTGGGTGGAGGCGTTGGACTGACAAGGGCATCTGAATCCGGTCTGAGAAGATCAGGGAACGCTTCCGGGGGAGAGGGGCACGATCGAGCACGACCTGGTACGCCTCAGCAGAGGTGCGAGGCCCAGCCACCCCTGGACACAGGAGGCGGAGCCGCTGTGTTTGAGCGCGGCCCACCGTTTCAGGTCCTCAGACATGGTCGAGACAGTTCCCTGTGGGCGAGGGAAGTGCCAGTCTCCGATCGACAGAGGAGTCGCAGTCGCTGTGTTTGAGCGCGGCCCGCCGTTTCAGGTCCTCAGACATGGTCGAGACAGTTCCCTGTGGGCGAGGGGAAGCGCCAGTCTCCGATCGACATTGTCACCGAGAAGACGCGGCCTGACCCGGTGCTGGAGACTAGCCCTCTGGAGATCAGCTACGACCCCAGCGACCAGCAGAGCATCGGCAACACAGGTCAGTCCAGCCGGCAGCTGGCATCCCGCCAACGGCTTTATGTCTGCCAGTGCCAGCACACCAACGGAGATAGCTTTTCTTTTTTTACTGTTGATGCGGCGGCTGTCGCCATGAGCACCGTCATGATTCACGCCGACTATGGTGGAGACGACGAGGCGATGGTTTCGAGCTTTTGGTGGCCGCTCCAGCATTCGGCGTACGCGCCACTGCCCTGCTAACTGCGTTCGCAAGCGTTCCTGCGTCGTGATATAAAAACATGAGCATAAATAACACGCCTTAATTCTGAGCACGTCACTGATATGAAACGACCTCGTTTTGATCTGACCTGACGTGATCTCACTCTGGTCTGACGTACCCAGGCCATGATCTGACATGATGTGACCTAGTTTTGACCTGACATGACCTGACGTGATCCTGCTGTGGCCTGAGATGACCTGCAGTGATCTTGTCATAATCTGATCTGACCTGGTTTTACCTTGCTCTGATCAAAGCTGACATGTAGTAGCCTCACTGCAACCTGATCTGGTGTGGCCCGCTGTAACCTGACCTGTCGTGGCCCGCTGTAACCTGACCTGGCGTGACCTGCTGTGGCGTGACCTGTTGTGGCCCGCTGTAACCTGACCTGACCTGGCCCGCTGTAACCTGACCTGGCGTGGCCCGCTGTAACCTGACCTGGTGTGGTCCACTGTGGCCTGACCTGACGTGACCTGCTGTAACCTGACCTTTCGTGGCCCGCTGGGGCCTGACTTGACGTGTCCCGCTGTAGACCTGACCTGGCGTGGCCCGCTGTAACCTGACCTGGCGTGACCCGCTGTGGCCTGACCTGTTGTGGCCCGCTGTAACCTGACCTGACCTGGCCCGCTGTAACCTGACCTGGCGTGGCCCGCTGTAACCTGACCTGGTGTGGTCCGCTGTGGCCTGACCTGACGTGACCTGCTGTAACCTGACCTGTCGTGGCCCGCTGGGCCTGACTTGACGTGTCCCGCTGTAACCTGACCTGGCGTGGCCCGCTGTAACCTGACCTGGTGTGGCCCGCTGTGACCTGACCTGGTGTGACCCGCTGTGGCCTGACCTGACGTGACCGTACACGCCGCTGTCAGGTCACGGCTGGAAGGTGGACTACATGGGCGGCCAGTCCTCCATCCGCGGCGGCCCCCTGGAGGGCACGTACGCGCTGGCTCAGTACCACTGCCACTGGGGCCGCGAGGACGAGCGGGGCTCGGAGCATACCGTCGACGGCCACAAGTACGCCGCTGAGGTAAGAGCTGGCTGCAGGGCCATGGCGGAACAGCTGAGGTGGCAACTGTCTCCTGGTCACAGGGGAGGGGTTGAGATGGAAACTGTCCACCAGGCACAGGGGAAAAGCTGAGGTGGCAACTGTCTCCGGGTCACAGGGGGAAGGGCTGAGGTGGAAACTGTCTACCAGATACAGGGGAAAAACTGAGGGGAGAACTGTCCACTGAATCGAGTCACAGGGGAGCAGCGGAATTGAGAACTGTCTTCGACGTCACAGCTGAGATGACAACTGCCCACCTGGTCACGTACAAATCACTGAGATGAGATCCCTGTCATCCGGCCCGGTGTGGGCCGGTAATAGTGTGATCGTGAGTCTTATCTTGTTCGCTGTGCGCCCCAGAGCGTTGAGCCGGTTATAGTGCGACCGTGCGTCTTATCTTGTTCGCTGTGCGTGCTGGAGCGTTGAGCCAGTTATAGTGCGACCGTGCGTCTTATCTTGTTCGCTGTGCGTGCTGGAGCGTTGGGCCGGTTATAGTGCGACCGTGCGTCTTATCTTGTTCGCTGTGCGTGCTGGAGCGTTGAGCCAGTTATGGTGCGACCGTGCGTCTTATCTTGTTCGCTGTGCGTGCCAGTGTTGAGCCGTTTTAGTGTGACCGTACGTCTTATCTTGTTCGCTGCGCGTGCCGGAGCGTTGAGCCGGTTTCCATTGGCCACTCTGTGGGGGAAGTGCGTGTGGACCTCCGCACGGGACAGCGCGGTGAGCACTGCTCCCACAGCAACACCACGAGGTGCCTAGCTGCGCCAGCGCCGAGGCCAAGGCCGCCTCTAATGGCCGCCCGCCGCGCCCGCGGCCGAGCCCGCGCGGCCGACGAATGGCCGAGTACCGCGCCAAAAACAGGCAGGATGATCGGTCATGCTGACCTTGGACATCGCGCTGCGTCACCTTGGTGTAGGATTTCGACATAGCTCAGGGCCACGGGGACTACCGAAGCAGTGCGTCGTTAGGTGAGGATCTCTAGGTCATTGCCGGAGTGATGGTTTCCATGATGCGCTCAGTTTACGACACGGCTCTAACGCGCAGGTGACTTAGGGGTTTAACGCGAATGGCCTGCGGGAATTTTCGTGGGAAGACTCTTCTGGACGTTCAACTCCTCACAAGAGTCGTTCTTGTTTTACTGTGCATGCGGTGCTAATAAACGCAGGAGGCTAGGCTGGTACCGCTGATGCATTTGTGCAGATAGCGCCTGTTCGGGTGGATTAGTGTGGCACCTTGAGTGACGTTCAAATTCAACTCGCTCCTTTTTTTGCCAACACTTGGCTTTGCAACCACATTCAAGCACGGATTTTAACCAACGGATCGAAGTCTTACGGCCCTTGTTCCATTCAAGCTTGACAAACAGGGAAAGGTCATGCTTTTGTTATTGCTAAATTCCTGATTTTAGCGGAAAACCGCACCGCTGCGTCCTTATTAGCAACCGCATTTCAAACGTTGCTGCGATGGTCTCGTTTGGAAACTTTGTACTCAGCGATGTAATTCAGGGTGACTGCGCATATTAACTCCAGGGCAGGCGACATAGCCCTTGATTAATGCAGACAGTCACGGTAAGCTGGGTCAGTTCCTCCGAGCACTGCTGTCCCATGACGGCAGGGTCACGGGCCGTATACTCAACGTCCGGCCGTGCGGCTCTGTTCGGAGCCGAGCACTGCTGCCCCATGACGGCAGGGCCACGGGCCGTATACTCAACGTCCGGCCGTGCGGCTCTGTTCGGAGCCGAGCACTGCTGTCCCATGACGGCAGAGTCACGGGCCGTATACTCAACGTCCGGCCGTGCGGCTCTGTTCGGAGCCGGGCACTGCTGTCCCATGACGGCAGAGTCACGGGCCGTATACTCAACGTCCGGCCGTGCGGCTCTGTTCGGAGCCGGGCACTGCTGCCCCATGACGGCAGGGCCACGGGCCGTATACTCAACGTCCGGCCGTGCGGCTCTGTTCGGAGCCGGGCACTGCTGCCCCATGACGGCAGGGCCACGGGCCGTATACTCAACGTCTGGCCGCGCAGCTCTGTTTGCAAGATAAGTCACCAAAGTGCAACAGGTAAACAGAGCACCGAGTAGCCAATGTATAACAAGTAACCAAAGCAACGAGTAACCAAAGTAGCCAGCGCACCGTCGCCTGCAAACCATCATGTCAGCAGCGACCACACCCGTAAGGGACCAACACCAAATTTGTGATCGACTCAACTTTTTGAGTCGGCTGGAGACTGGCTCACAGCTTTTGGGATCCGATTCAGCTTATGAGTCATGTCCATCTCATTTTTTTATTCGACTCACCTCATGCTCATTACTTGCATTGAACAATTTGACTCATGACTCACACAGCTTGCAAAATCATAGGTCCGATAAAGTCCTGGCTCTTATATGCATATTATATTTATGATTCATGCACATATACTCCGGTTCCTAGACTTAACAAACTTAAGTTCAGGATCAGCAATACGGTGTTTCTTTTATATATATATATATATATATATATATATATATTTATATGTATATATATATATATATATCTATATATATATATATATATATATATACGGGAATGGAGCTAGATACAAACAGCCTAGTAGCATGTTTATCGTTCGAACCTAGAAAATGCAGTGCAGCAAACAATACCTGTCCTGTGACTTGTTGCCAATCAGCTCTCTTAAGTCTCAGCTCTAGGTTAGCGTATTCGACCTGGCGCCTTTGACCCAGACCCATTATTTATGTGGCATGCAATGTGGAGCAGACAACAGTGAAGCTGACAGTTGGCAGTCTGAACCTGCCATGTGCTCGCCAAGCGCATTCACGCGCAGGTAATCACATTTCCACTAGCCAGTTATAGCCATATTGTCGGCCATAGCACGCTAACAATTCAACATCGGATTGCAGTTCTTGCAATGGCAATCAGCTGGCATAAGTTACAGACATAGTATGAGCTTACCTACTTACTTGGACTTATCAATTATTACAAATTACGGTTGTATCTCTCACAAATAATTCCAGCAAAAATTCGCATCACTTATAATGAACCGAATTCCGAACAACTGAATCGGAGATAGGCTAACGTAGGCGCGTAATGTCGTTTTTCATCAGGATACCTTACACTCATCTTATCAGGTCACTCTAAGATGAGTTAAAACAGGTTCCACGCTGCTCGGAGATTAGAGTGCTGTGTGCCACCTTACCGGCATTCCAAGACTTCTAATTTTTTAGCCGAATTCTCACTTGCAGGTTATGTGTTGAATGGAAATAGTTATTGATGTAATCCCTGGGACGTCACATTCTGTGACATACAATCCACTCATGAGACGAGACGAGCTTCCCATTCCTGCTGTTTATTTCATATAGCTTCAGCAATAACATGTTAACGGCATTCAAGTAGCAGTAAATGAGCGGCCAGGTATGGATTAATTCATTGCTGTGACAACTGAAAATACAAATATGACCAGCTCTTGGATTTTCTAAAAAGCAGAAATTATTTCACTGATTTTAGCACAGCATAGAGTAGTGCAGGATTTTTGCTGTGCCATATATATATATATATATATATATATATATATATATATATATATATATATATATATCTCTCTCTCTCTCTCTCTCTCTCTCTCTCTCTCTCTCTCTTCTGGTTCCTGGCTGAGCCTTGATAATTTTTAGTTAAAGTCATCAGTATTACGCTTGCTGTTCAGAAATTATAATAACCAAATGTGTGCTGATATTGCAAAAAAGGTCGATAATTAATACTGCATGATGTTCATTTTGATACTCTAAAAAATAATATGTTAAGTTGTCTGGGGCTTGCTGTGCTTCCTCATGTTGACATTTTCAGTTCAACCATTCCACTTACTGACGCGACATTGTTAGAAATGATCGGCTCACGATTCAGCTCATGAAATTTACGAATAATGTGGTTGAGCTTATTGCTCAAAGCAGCATTTTCCTGGTGAGTCGACTCAGCTCACGACTCACTCCAAAACGGTTGACTCGTGATTCTGATCTAAAAACGACCGATTAGGGATTCAGCTCGAGTCGAACACAAGTCTGGTCAGCGTACCATGATCTGCTTCATTATTTACGGATGAGCTCTTCGTTTCTCCTGTTGGAGGTCAGGTAACCGAGTGATTGTTAAGATCGTGGTTTGGGGAGGGAAATGTGCTTGATAGCATGACTAGCTATTTTGGTTGGGATCTTCAGATGCATCATAAGATGTCTTCGTAGGGTAGTCATAGTTTCGTGTATAGGGTATTTTCTAGGGCAGGCATAGCTGTGCTTCAATTCCTCGTGTTATTTGATAGTATGCTGGGCAGAATCATCCCATATGTCGGAGAGCTTAACTGATGAAGTCATTTGTTGCAATTTTGCAGCAGATGCATTGCATAACACATGCTAAAAGCTTTACGTAATGACATATGAGGGGCGCAAACATTTCGGGTTGAATGCCCGGTACGATAATTTCAAATGGACTAAGTTAGCTGCCCATGCCAGTGCGCTGGCTAGCAGGCCCGGCAATCCCCTCGCAACATGCAAGCTCCTAGCCAACTATGTTAAAGAACATGATAAGCGCTGCTTACGACCTGATCGGAATGGACCTGCACAACTGGCACCGGAACACACCGCACTCTGATCAGGACCGGACCGCACAACTGGCACTGAAACACACCACACCCTACTCGGACTGGACCGCACAGCTGGCACTGGAACACACCGCACTCTGATCGGAATGGACCGTACAAACTGGCACCGGAACACACCGCACTCTGATCGGGCTGGACCGCACAACTGGCACCGAAACACAACCGCACCCGAATACGCACCGTTCCCGACCGTTGTGCGCTTGGGTCCCACCTGACCTACGACCAAACTAAGTGCTTCGATCAAGCAGGCACTGCGCTTACGAGGGAATATGGTGATGCTGTGGACGCGTCCTGAGGGGGGATACGGTGGTGCTTGGGACGCGTCCTGACGGGGGATACGGTGGTGCTTTGGACGCGTCCTGACGGGGAGATACGGTGGTGCTGTGGACGCGTCCTGACGGGGAGATATGGTGGTGCTGTGGACGCATCCTGACTGGCTCTCGCTTCGCGTGGAGTTGCGACACGCCACGTGG